CTACGACTACGACGACTACTACTACTACTGCTACTGCTACTACTACTACTACTACTACTACTACTCCTACTACTACTACTACTACTACTTCTACTCTCTCTCTCTCTCTCTCTCGATGCGCAAACATGCGAAGACGTCTTTGCGTGGCCCCTTTGGGCGACCTACGGTGGCCGGCTATCTCAGTGGACAGCTAAACCCGGGCATAAAGCGACATACAGCTGAACCTTAGGCTCGAGCTTCAATCATTAACAGCGATAGCGAAGGCGTATGGACCGGTAGTCCCATAGTGTAGCCCTCAAGCGACTGTATAATACGAAGCGACATATGTCAGACACATGTCGGACGTTTCGCAAGCTACCAGCAACCTTCAGTTTGGCCCGATAGGCCCATGAAGACATCTTCACATTGTTATGGACACATTGACGACTACAGCCAGCTCTCTCAGTACAGACAGTGTTCACCGCATCACAAGGAGGCATCCGAAGGCCAGCTCAGCACGATCAGCGCAAGTGGTCGCAAATAGTCCTTGCATGGCCACTCGAAAGGTACCTCCACATTCAGGCAGAAAGCCTTGCAAGCCCGATCCAAGGAGTAAAAGCACAACACTCAACGACTTGGTGCAGTCTCTTTGCTCCGACGCTTATTCGCATGATCCCCTCAGCAGCGCCCAAAAAGCAAAAGCCTTTCAATGATCATATTGCCCAGAATGCAAAACCGCAAAAGCTGCAAGCTCCACGCTCCACGCTCAGGGTTCCTGATAAGGATCTTGTACTGCATGGTCAAGGCATCTGAGCTTAAAGCCTTGCTCTTTCAAGAATTGCATGTCCACTTCTTTCAAGCGCCATTCATCTCGCACATGAAAAGTGCCCAGCAAGAATCTATCCCCAGTCCAAGGCATGACAGCATGTTTCAATCGAGAGTTGAAACGCAAGCATGGAAGCACAACCTGCTGCAATAAGCCTTTCGGACCATCCTTATGCAGAAGGACATCACCTTGCAAGCTTTCATGCCACAACTCTCCACCAGGATTCGCCTTTGAACAATTCCAAGGCATAGTGAAGCAGAGCATCAGCCTCTTCCGTAGGACTCATCAATCCGCCAGAAGCCGTGCGGAGGCAGATTTTCCGGCGAAAGCTTTTCGGGGCCAGCATCCTTATGAATCTGTGTTGTGTCCGGGTGTCATGCTGAAGTGCAGCTTGCTCGGCCTGTTGCAGGATATCATGTATCTGTTGTTGCTTTCGCCGTCTTGCCAACATCCGCATTTCACGATGTCTCTGCTTTTGCTCAACTAGCATGCGAGAGGCCTGAAAGGACTTCCTCATCTGTGTGCGGGGCAGTCGGTCAATTTGGGGGGCATGCCACAACATCTTGACCTCATCATCCACCTGAGCGAGCGCCGGCCTCTTGGGAGGAGGAATCTGTGATCGCGGCTGTGCCTAAACCGCCTTCTGAACGTCAGCAAGAGTGGGAGCTGGCTGCAAGAGAAGTTCTGGCAGACTCGGACCACAGTACTGTTGAGATGGCTTATTCGGGCGGTTTGTCCATGGGGTCCACTTAAGGGGGAGGCTACTGAAGATAATGTCGTGTCCAGCTGAGCGCAACCAGCAATTGGTGCCTGTATGAGGCCACTACTCTTGGCGATTCCGTCCGACAGGTGCCGTCTGGCACAAATGAACTCAATTTGCGACTGACCGCTAGGATGCTTGTACGTAAACGGACGGCTCCAGGGAGGAGTTGAAGTCGCCCAACAAGATCACCGATGACCGAAAAGGCAGCGCTGAAATCGTCTTGTCCACTGCTCACGTGGGTAGTTCCGGGCGGAAAAGATGAATAGCCGCTCCAGCGCGTGTGCAGGCAGTATCTGGGAGGCTTCAATGAAAAGCTCCGGTAGGTTGCTGTCTAGCAATTGATACAGGAGCACCGAGGCCCAATCGGTAACCGCCTCGCTCTGATTCGAAAGGAGGATATCCAGCTTTTCAAGTATCCACGCTCGCAAGTGAGTCTGACAGTCACGGACCATGAATCCAGTAGACCCTGTTTGAACCGGTCGTGGCGCTTACTACGACAACCTCCTCCTCCTCCTCCTACTCCTACTCCTACTCCTACTACTACTACTACTACTACTGCTACTACTACTGAGTAGACGCCCCCCCCAACCAAAAAGTTTTGGCTTGATTAATTTGGAACCGGTAACCCGGACAGGGGTCAGGGATCTGAGTGGGGCGGAATTGGGAGGTGCCGGGGCTGGCTTGGGTGCAGGGTCTGGGTTCTGCGCGAATGCGCGGTCGGGGGGATCACCAAATGCTGGAAACCAAGCCCCGATCACTCCAAGATAACTACCAAGACTAAAAACCCTTCATTTTGAACGCTTTGGCCTCCAACCTACACTCCCCCCACACTCCCACCCACAATTGACCACGTCTGAAGCTTGGTGCGGTACCATAATGGTACAGTAGTACAATAGTAGTACAACAGTAGTACAGTAGAAATAATACAGTAGTAGTACAGTAGTAGTAAAGTAGTAGTACAGTAGTAGTACAAGAATAGTGCAGTAGTACACTACTAATACAACAGTAGTACATTAGTAGTACGATAGTAGTACAGTAGTAGTACAGTAGTAGTAGAATACAAGTACAGTAGTTCAATAGTATCACAGTAGTAGTAAAGTGGTAGTACAGTAGTACAGTAGTAGTACAATAGTAGTACAGTAGTAGAACTGTAGTAGTACAGTAGTAGTACCGGAGTCATACAGTAGTAGTACAGTAGTAGTACAATAGTAGTACAGTAGTAGTACACTAGTAGTGCAGTACTAGTACAGAAACAGTACCAATAAGCAAAGCATACAGCCAGTGAGCACATTCCCCCAATAAGCAAAGCATAAAGCCAGCGCCTGAAACCCTAAACCCTAAACCTTAACAACCGTTAAACCCTGAACCTTACAAACCCTAATCCCTAACGAATCCTAAACTCCTAACCCCCAACAAACCCTAAACCCTAAACCCTTCCCAAAGGGGGTCAGTCCAGATTCGACCCAAAATTGAATTTTTTATACAAACTTTAGTACTGGAGAGGCTTCTTTTGAGCAAGTGTCCAATTCGCGATTCGGCGGTTCACCCTAGCAGCCCCCCCCAATAAGCAAGGCATACAGTAGCAGTGCAATAGTACAATAGTAGTACAGTAGTAGTACCTGACGCCCCAATAAGCGAAACAATTCTGCAAGAGATTTTCGGGCTTCAGGGCCAAGGTTTCACGGTTTGGGTGGGGGCTTTAGGTCGTGGCTGCCTTAAGATTGACCATCAGCAGACAGCACACACCCCCGCCAAAAATCCTGCCAGAAAAAAAAACGCATTAATTAGACCGCCCGATTTTTTGGTACCGGTTTGAATTAGCCCCGGAGAAAACGCATTAAAGACGCCCATATTCCTAAATAGGCCGTGAAATTACTACTACTACTACTACTACTACTACTACTACTGCTGCTACTACTACTGCTGCTACTACTGCTACTACTACTACTACTGCTACTACTACTACTACTACTTCTACTACTACTACTACTACTGCTACTACTACTACTACTACTGCTACTACTACTACTGCTACTACTCCCGCTACTACTCGGGTCGCACGTGCGGATTTTGTTTGGGGTTTTGGTGTGTTTCGAGCTGGCAAGATGCACCAATTTCGATCAGCACTGCAGTGTTTTATGCGTTTGTGACGTATGGCATGTTCCGCAATCTACGCTTGTAACAATGAAGCGTGCCAGGAGCTGCTCGCAGACCACGCGGACAGGACATGTATAGAGGAGCCCGTGTAGAGGCAATGGATTGGTCTGCGCATGAGGAGTTTGGGATTTGGGAGTACGTTTCAGAGTTTGACGCATGGGCCCAAAAACCGAGCTTCTGTCTTCCGAAAACAATGCCATGGCTCAGCCTTCAAAGAACCGCTTTTGATTCGGTTAGGGGTGAAGCAGGGACATTTCGAGAATCGGCCGACGAAACAGACTTTCTTTGCAACAACTGCGCACGTTGCCCCCCGATGCAGTACAAGAAGGATTCAAGGTTGAGCCTTTTTGTGGGTGTAGCATCGAGTCATCTTCAAGGATTCAGTGGAGCTGCCAGTGGCTGCCAAAGCCAGCTGCCATTGTGCTAAAACTGTGCGGCGAATCCAATCCAGGAACCTTGGGTTTCGAGACGACGTGCTGACTTAGTTGGGCCACTGGTTCAATCAGAAAGCTCTTCGAGGTCCAGCAGGTGACCACTAGCACTAGCTGTTTAGATGCTGCTGTTCTCGTTTTGGATTCTCCAGGAGTAGGTGCTGGATGCGGAACCGACACGCTAGACGACTGTCTTTTCACAAGGAGCTTTGGGAGGGAGGAAGACTTTGGAAAACCTTCAATCAGCGTCACCGTTCTGAATTAGCACGCACGTCTGCGTGTTGGTTTTGATGCTAAAATGTCCGACTTACCGGTTTACATCTCATGCACCGGCAATAGTAGGACCGTTTTACATCCAAGAGCTTCGGTGAGCAGAGCTCTCAGGGAGATAGCCGGGTCGCGACAAGCCCGTCTAGAAGATCCTGCAGAACTGAAGGTGAGATCGGTTGGTTATCGAGGTACGAGTATTGCTGGTTCTTGGTCGCACTCTGGTGGCAGGTCGGGACAAGACATCGCATGATAAGATGCTGGGTTGGAGATTTAGTCAGACGAGAGTTGGGCACTGCAAGCGGCCCAGCGGCTGCTGGTCTGCGAAATCAAGCAGAAAATGATTGACTGAGCTGAGTTGTCCCAGTCTGTGTTGGACTGTTTGATAGATGAGCTCAGCTGTGAAGGTGTAGCCCCAGATTGGGTGTGGCTTCATGGTAGTTTCAGGGTTGCTTTACTATCGATGTTTTGAACAATTAGGTGTGAAGGGCGTATTTCCTTGCCCATACACCAAGCCATATTGAATTGACGTGCGAATCTCACTCGTTTCAGCCCAGGTGTGCAGGAGTTCGACAGGATGGGATTCTCGCACATCCCGGCCACATTGCATTGACATCAGGACGTTTCGGCAGGAATGTGGTTGATAATGTCCCTGCAGTCATTTTGTTGTTGGGCATTGGTCCATTGGTCACACGTTGTAATCTTTTGGCAGAGCTTGCGATCGGCTCATAGTGAAGAGCCAGGGTGCAGGATCAATTGAGCTCGCGGCTCTCGTCGCTCAGATCGTACATGTCGTGGACTGTTCGGGTCTCGCTGCTGCCAACCGAAAGAGATGATACCGAAGACAAAGATCCCCACCACCTGGGGGATTAGCAGAGTGAAACATTCCTCACATCCCAGGTGACCAGCGTGTTTACAGCCGCTATTCTGTCCGGGTGCCGCGGTTGGTCAGAGAGATGTTTGTGGTTACTGCGAACAACCGATGGGGCTTTAAAACATGCCTACCTGTATCTGCGATGTTTCTGCATGCATGCGTATACGGACGTATAAATTCATGTAAAACGTTTTGAGTTTCCGATGCACTGGTTGGGCATTCGACGAGTTCACCTTGAAGGAATTAGAACATGTTGAATGCACTCAGGCTGTGCCACAAAAAACAATCCCTGAGCAACAGCATATGAGCTGTGACAGAAGCTGTGTGGCGGATTGTATCGCAGAACACCTCAGGGATCGTAAGCCGTCGCAGTGTGGCCCAAAGCTGAACACCTTCGACCTGTCTTGAAGTTCCAAGCATTTCTACAGTAAAACTTTGGGCCTCAGAGTTGTTCAATGTCCGGAACGCAACGTCCGGAACGCGATAGCTTCGCAACCCATTTCTCGACATTCTGGATCGTCAGGCGGAGTGCTCGATTTTTGAGCGAGAGTGACAAGATTTGGAATCCAAGTGGTAATAATGCTACTGCTGCTGATGCTGATATGGGGCTGAGGCTGATGCTAACTGTTGCTGCTGCTGCTGCTGCTGACGAGGATGGCGTGCCACAGTTAGAAAGACGAACCGCGCAACAACTTACCATAAGGATGCGAATAGGTCTCAGTCCGACTTAGAAGTATTCTGCCAACAAATGTTTAAACGAGCCAAATCATGAACAGTCAGCCGCAAAGCTCCAACGAGGGATATCCTGTGAGGTTCTGCAAGTATGCGTCTTTTGCATAAGCCTGCAGAACTATGCGGCCTGCCAACTACCCAATGCAGCTTAAACCCCGGCCTTATCCGAACGTATCCGAGCGAGGAATCCTTTCATGGACGTCCCCGGCAAGGCTTTAGTCAACACCTTCCTCCGTCAGGCAGGCTTCCGTTCCTTTGAGACTGGGGTGGAGGGTGGAAATGTGCCGAGGGTTTTCTTTCGTTGGGACAAGTTTTCTAGGAGAGCCCTGTGAACGGCATATCCAAAGTCTAAAACTCTCCGAGGCTGCGAGTTTCAGCAGACTTGTGGCAGGCTGCGGCATGACTGGTTCGGCCATGCTGCTGCGTGTGGAACTGATTTGCAGTCGAGACAATGTTGCGTGCTTGTTCGTTGCAAGGCCATGTGGAAATACGGCCGACGATATGCCTTCACCTTCAATGTTTATCCGCTCCTTGGTCACAAATCCATATTGCGGAAGTCCCAAGTTTGAAAACTTGCAGCAGGTCACGGTGGGCTTAGACGCAGTAGCGGGCTTCAGCAATCGCACAGGGGCTCCTGCTTTGCTCCCAAATGCTTGAAGCCCCAAGCTTCCAATCTTGGAGCAGCGGATTCCCCCAGATCAAGATGTCAAATGAAAATGATGTGTCGGGGATCTACGCATGTGTTTTAGTGGATTCATGGACGCTTGTCAGTGTTAAAGCACCGCTCATATCGTCGGCAGCTTTTGATTTTGAGCATGCGAAGCGCTCAGCACCGAAGCCGTACAGGCCCTGAAGTTCACGTGAGAAAGTGGTGTTAGAGGCCCGCTAGCTTATTGTTCGAGCTGCCACATGTTTATGTGGCAGTGGAGCGGTGACGCGGGCCGTCCTGAGTGCGAGTCGCGAGTTTCTGTGGGGCTTGGGCGGAACCGGTGCTCGGTATGGCGGTTGGGATCTCACATGCCCCGAAACATCCATGAGGCTGCTGAACTTGATTGACCACGAGCCTTGTGACAATGGCTCCTCGTTGCGGATTTTGGTGCAATCATAAGGAGGCCAACAAAGGAAAGGATGCGCCATGGGAGTGGCGACGGCAGCACCTGCCATTCACCTGGTCGGTGCCGTGTGGAGGCGCTAAGACGAGGGCGGACGGCTAGTGTTGGTGGAGCAACCGGTGAACTTTGCTGCCTTGAAGCTGTCGATGATGGACGCTGAGTCCCCTGTGGTGCGGGTGAGCCTGGATGACTATGACCCTCAGTCCGACCGGCGTTTGGCCGAACCCACCCGGATACGAACCTCTGGGAGACTCTGCCTGCGACGAACGCCTCCTTGCACCTGTCCGAGAACTCCTTATTGGGGAGCGCGATGACTACGTGTCCGTCGGGGGTGCGGCAAATCCGCAGCCTCGGCCATCGAGGGAGGGCGCCTCTGTCTGTGTTTTTGACCCGGAAAGGACCGCACTTCTTGGCAAGGGCTGTGGCGATCATCGTTTGCGTTCTGCGAGGATTTGGGTGACACTACGCGGGTGTCACGGCCTTCCCCTGGAGAAGCTTCCGATGAGATGACCGGGTCGCAGTTCATCACCCATGGCCTGCAAGACGTGGAAAAGGAGCTCCAGGCCGGCACCTTCACGGTGGATAAGACTCCGTTGGATGATGATCAAGAGGATGACGTGCCTCGGCAACATGGTCTCACCGGCTTTTCGCAAGTTTTCGTTCCTGGCATGTCATCCAGCAGCTTGGCCTTCTCCTCTTGCTCCGATCGAGCTCCATCTCCTCCTCGACCGACGATGACGATGAAAACGATGCGTCATGCCTCGCCGGAGCCCGTTTCACAGAGGGCTCCCATGAGCTGGACTTTGCTAAGAAGCGGAGGTTGTTTGCGAAGCTGGCAACCTACGGATGCAAGAGGCTGGGATCCACGACCACCTGGGCAAGGCGTAAGCAAAGCTCAAGGCAGTGAAGCGGGCCGTGCTTGGGGATATCAGGTCATTTGAAAACAACGAAAAAGTATCATCGAACAACAGGATACAACAAGGAAGATGTACAGACAAAAAGACATTGTGCAGATGTGCGCGCAAAACTGTGCAAAGCAAAATCACCAAAAGCTTTCGTGCAGTTGCATTTGCGTGAACTTCACCGAATAGCATCGTGAGCACCGAAACTTCTAAGCCGAAGCTTGAGCCAAGCAAAAGAGCATGTTTGAGCCAAACAGGGAATATATTGGAATTTCAACGAAGGGCATCGTGAGCATCGAAATTTCAACATAGGAGCATGGAAGCTTGAGTCGAGCGCATGGAGCATTAGATTTGAGCCAAGTACATGACGGCGTTTAGGGACTTCAGGGCTGCGGGGTTTAGGGATAGTTGGGAAAACCCACACTTGAAAGCCAGCGCAGGACACGGAATTTCCTGAACTTCCTGAAACCCTCGATGCATCGTGGTCACCTCTCGTTCTTTTTACACATACTTCAGTAGCTCGGTCTTCAAGATCACCAGATTCCCCCGCAACACGTTGCACGATGCATTCACATGCGAGCACTTCCGGAAGATCTTCATACACCAGCGGACGAAATCTTCAGCAACAAAGCAGCCTTCGTACCCGAAATTTCCTTTTGCCGCCGCGACCTTCCAAGAGATGTTGTAAACAATGAAATGTCGGCGCCGTTTTCAACAATAGCTTTCCTCTCTCGTGCGCGCCTCCCGCCAGCTTCAGATATCATTTGAAAAAACATTCGGAAACGCTGAAGTCTGCTCCCAAGCCTCATCAGCTAAGAAGCAGCCACAATTGAACTCGCAGACATGATTGGCAACCCACGCGACACCTGGCAAGCCACTACAATGCGGCAGCCTTTCCAGCAATAAAGTTGCCAACCAAGACAGGACAGCAGTGGCGGCCCGGACAGACGGACCATCCCAGGGAGTTTTCCGAAATCTTCTCGATCGAAACTTGTTTCTTCTGCATGGCGAACAGCTTGACAGCTGCAACGACATTTTGCAATCTAGCATTGATATTCCGGCAAGCAAACCCGGTGTTTGCCGGAAGCACTGATTGTCAGAGCTGAACCACCAAGTCACGGCCTATGCCCGAATGAAACGTGTGCGTGATGTCAATCCGCGCCATAGATAGCCAAAAGTGTGGAGTTTTGCAGCAGCAGGTGTGTCTGCCCAAGGCAGCGGAGAGTTGCCATCTGCGTGCACCGTTCCCTGTCATCCAGGTGCTTCCGAAGCATCTGTGTATACAGTCTTGAAGTCCTGCCGTCCCCCGGAACTAGACTACATTACAGGGTTAGTAGGGTCTATTTAACGGAAGCTGATTAATTAGCCCGGCAAACAATGCAGTAAACCTGCAAAGACTTCGTTCGACCTGTGCCATGTTTGGGCCTTTCTCGGATCCAGGCTTTCGGCTGAGGTTGAAGGCCTGGACCATCCGTTTCATGTCACGAATCCAACAGGAATGAAGTAGTACACCTGAACAGGGAATTCCAGAGGCTAAAGAAAACATCATGTATATTCCTTCCAGCGCACAGCTACCTCGCGCGGAACAAGACGAACATAACAATTCAGATCCTGAAGGAAGCTATCGTGGCTGACATGAACAAGCTGAGCAAGGTGCACAGGTGGGCGATGAGGCCCTTTGTACACAAAAAACGCCGTAGATCATAAACCCGTAATAGTCTCTGCGTAATGTAAGACTCAACATCTGGAGAGGTCTGATGTCCTTATATTCACAGGTTTGAGAAGCTCTGATGGCGAAATTCTGCAGGTTGGGTCAAACTTCCAAGATGCCACCTTCCATGAAGACCGTTTGAGTGTCGCCTCATCACCCCAGCCCCGCTATGGGAATCGTTCGATGGTACGGCTCAGGGTGGCCGTCCAACAAAGGAATAGTCAACGCTTGTAGCATTGCCTCCCAATGCTGCTCCGAGTGTGTCCCCATCAGTGATTAGAAAATCTCGAAGATTCCTTATTGCAGAAGATCAGGCGTTCTCAAGTTGGGCAGTGCAACATATTAGTGTAATACGGCTTTGTACGGGTTTCAAACATACCCTGCACAACACCACACCCAGACTATAATCTCTTGACCCAGACTGTAGACTATAATCTCTTGACCCAGATTGATCAATGCTGGGGCATTGACCCATGTAAGCTCGCAGTCGAAAGCCGGTCCGTGGAGGCCTGCTGTATCCCTCCAGCAGTCGACAGCCACAGGCATCTCGTCTAGGCTTTGGGTTGGGTACCGCGGTTGGAAGCTTAGCTCTGTAGGTTGTTGCGTTGCATCCACGACCCCAGTAGTGTTGGCAAGGCTCCCGGATCGAAGGCAATGGTCAAGGACGTATCGCCAGCACAGGAAGGTCGAAGAAGCATCAGCAAGGTAGGGAGTTTAGGGGTCGAATTCTGGTGAAATCATGCCATGGCGATTGTCGAATCATGCACCAGCGCACGCAGCTCGCGCAAGCGACGTCGGGATTGGGCTGGGCTGGGTTCTTTGGTGGCAACCGAATCAAATGTTAGTGCAAGAGGCTTCTGGTCCAGCTTGGATGCCACGGTCGGCGGCGTGGGGTCGAGTGGCACCTGCGCAAATCAACAGTTCTATTCTCAAGCATTGCGCTGGTTCATGACATGCGTGCTCTTTAGCTGCTGCAGTGAATCTTCACTTGCTCCGTGCTCCGGGGAAACTTTTTCTAGCAGCTGCCGAGCTCTCCACTACATGTGCACCTTTTCGGTGCATGGCCTCGAACCCGAAGCCCCAGCGGCCCCCTGCGCTATGAAGATTTCCACAAAGCTTTGCAGACTTCAAAGATCAAATCCCAGGCGAAACCTGCAATATTTGAATGCAAGCACGGCCCACATGCAAGCGTTGCGATTGCTCGTACAGCGGAATTGGAGGGAAGCGATGTGGCTGCTATAGGCAAGCCATACTGACTCCGGCATGCAGGCCTAGAGCGTGTATGACGGAGTCAGCAAGGGGAGCGTATCCTTACCGACATCACCGGTGCGTCGTTGACGTGTGTGTGTGTGTCGAGCTTACGGACCCGCAAACCAATAGGACAATAGGAGGATTTGGGTAAGTGTGCAGATCAGAGTTACACTCGTAATGGCTGCACCAGCTTGGCACCGGACAACTCCATCAGCTCGAGGCCATCTTATTCAGCTCCTGCAGCAGGCACAAAGAAAGCTTTTGAACCTAGTCGCGCTTTGTTTTGAGGAACAAGGGCTAGCTCTCCTTGGAAGGCGCTGACCTGCGTGCCAGATAGACCATCGGCGGGCACCGCGATCCTGACGCAGGCTTGTGTGCTATGAGCTATAGCCGACGGCCTCGACCCTAGAACATAATCTCTTAACCTTGGTTACAGTGCAGAGCAAGTGCGTCGTGCGTTGCGAGGATGTTCCGGCAGCGTTCCTTTCAGGCCAAGAGCTGCCTTGCACCGACAAGATTTATGCCCACGCTCCTTGAAGGTATCCCCTCGGCGGAGACGTGCGAGATGACATGGCGGAGATAGCAAAACTTTCAATCGTGGTTTTGGCCTACCGGTTCGAAGCCCCAGGCTATTGAACTATTGTATGCGCCGTACAAGGAGATACTGTTGGAGTTGGGGCTACATGAGCTTCGCCTGGCTCCAGGTCTGTTTCTGGCCTTCACTCCTGCCGGAGCCGTCCGAGCGATGGCCATCATCCATGTCGATGACACTCGGTATGCTGGAGATGAGACCAGGGAGGTCTTGTGGGAGCAGTTACACAAGTGGCTCAAGTTTGCATCGGTGGGGCGAGCTACCGAAGGATAGCAAAAGTTCTGCGGACGGCGGGAGTGGAGATCAGAATGCAAGGCTACATTAAGAAGTCCCCGCCGTCAAGCAGCGAGACATGCTGCCTGCGACTTCTGCCGCGAATTCCCCGCAGTCGGTGGCTGTGCCCTCTACTGCCTCAAGTTCCCCCGGTGCTACCACTGGCTCGGGCTCTCCTTTGGCGGCTTAGTTTTGCCCTCTACTTACATCGACTTCCAGCGACACTACCACTACCTCGGGGTGAATTGGACAGCTCGTCAGCGTCGATATGATTTATGCTGTGGCACATCGTTGGTGAAGCAGCTAGCCGGACAAGGCAGAGCGGAAGCACTCAAGCGGGTGAACACGATGGTGCGCCGCGCTCGAGAACCTCTCCAGCTGTTGGTGCCAAATTTGGGCTGCTCCGTTGTACCCCTATACCCACTGGAAGATCCTGTTGAAGTGAAGTGCGTGGTGTATAGCTACAATGTCCGTGAAACAACTTCGAGAGTGGTCACCGCCATGATCACATCGGAAGCATGGGGGGGCGGGTCTGGAACGCATTGATGAGTTTACAAGTATCAGTGCTGATGTTACTGCTTAATGGGTCCAGCCAAGGTGAGACCCTGGTCATGTTCGCCAATCCCCGTGTTTAGGACGGGGAAGTTCCTGTGTTCATCATGGCATCATGGAGACGGTGAGCCCGAAAATCCAGCTGGTGCGGAGGTGCTCGATGTTTGCAAAAGTTTCTTCTTGTGGCTACGGCCTGCGACTACGTGCGGGCAGTGTTTGTCGAGCTCGCCCGCCCCGGCTTTGAGCTCAGGTCTGGGAGGTGTACGTGGCACCCTGGCCGTGCATCTTGGTGACCGATGCCCGGACAGGCTACGACGCCGTGAACTCCGAGACCTGGCCCACGGACAGGAAGATAGCAATCGCTGTCGAGGGTCGATGACGGGGCTGGATGCAAGGTGCGTTGGGTTCCCGGCGGCCAGATGCCGGGCGATGGCCTGACAAAGTGGCATGACAATGGAGTCCTCGCGACGGTGATGAGTTCGGGAGTTTGGTCTCTGCGAGATCCCGAGACGGCTCGCGAGATGAGACAGGTAGCAGCTGCCAAAAGGGCGGCCTGGCGCAAGAGCGCCAAGTCCGACGGGACATGAGGAAGAGGGTGGTTTTTGTGTGAAAACACCCCTCAGGTCGTTGGCAGCTGTTGATCTTGAGCATGCGAAGTGCCCAGCACCGAACCCCTACAAGCCATGAGGTTCGCGTGAGAAAGTGGTGTTAAAAGCCCGCTTGTTGTTTCTTTGAGCCCTGCCATATTCGTGTTCTAGTAGTCCGTGAATTCCTGTGCTCAGGTACTTTGATCCCAACCTGCGCATGAATCCTGGTAGCCGAGACGACTGTAGTGAAGCGCTGAAGAGAGCCACCTGCTGGCAAGGACGGGGGTGGCAACCCCCAGGATATTTGATAACCGGCGCAATTCGGAATGTTGCGTCTTAAGCTTGCCAGGTTTTAGCTGCTTAGCAGCATCTACGCATGTGCCGTTTTGTCATTACGACCCCGCACCAACTCAGACTGCGGCCAAGAGGGATAGTTGCTTGTGAGGAGCCACATGCCTCGGTCCTGCAATCATGTGCCCGAGTTGCAAAATTTCGGCTGCAGTGGAGTCCAGGGGCTTCGACTTGTTGCCTGTTGATTCAGGATTGCAGCACGGCGCAAAATGCAGCAGCTGACTGGAAATCCGGATGACCTTTTCTGGAGACCCTGCTGCGAGTTCTAGGATTCTAGGGCTTTGGGCCTCGGCGTTGCACACATTCAGTTGTTAAGGCTGCTGTTCAGTTTGGGTTGCTGGGTTGTGTTGTTTCTGTTCCCTGGGCGTCGGCATGCTGTACTCTCGCATGGTTCCGAAGTTTGAAAGCTTCCACACATTCGGATCATGCCGCTCAGCACATTGTGGGTCCGACGAAGCACCGGACATGGCGTGACCAACTGACTACCAACACCCCAGGTCTTCAAACTTGTGAAAGCAAGGGTGCTGCTTGATCGTTCTATCGGGAACACCGAAAGCAACATAAATGAAGAGTAAGCCCTCGGAGCCCCATTGATCGGAAAGAGTGCATGCTACATGAAACTGACACACTGATGCCTGAACAGATGACTGCAGGTTGTTGAACTCTCCTGCAGCGTTAATTCTGTCAGACGGCGGGCTGTCAAGCAAGATTGCTGAAGAGGTTGCAGTGCAATTGTCAAAACACTCATCAGAAATTATGCTTAGCTGCAATAAGGGCTGCGCCGTGTTCTGTATGTTGCGGAACCCCTTTACTTTCGGTGAGTGTCCCTTACTGACCATATATGAGTGTGGATGAACTTGAGCTACTCAGGATTGGTGAGATCGGTTGGTCATCACCTCGCGCACAGGCACTTCACACAGAGATGAAGCGCTGCCAGGAGACCCTCGAGTGCATGTGGAAAAATGTTGAGGTACGGATTGGGGTTCGATGTCCTCATGTTGAGTCAGTCGGATTTGCAGCGCTTCACGGGAAACAGGTGTCAAGTCCGTCTGAGCGAACTTGTGCACGATTTGCAGGGGACCTTCATTCTTCGGAAGTTTCTGGGGCCGATCTCGTAGTTTCGAACAGGGTTTCGCAGTGGGGTTTTAGCCTGAAGAGTCTAGAGTTACGGGTCTGTGTTAGCAGAGAATCCAGTTGTGTGAGAACTAAGGTTTTCCTCGCTCGCGACATTCCAGACTTTTTACAGCGGCGGCTGGGCCTAACACGATCAGACTCAGTATTAAGGTCCAAGCTCTAAGTTTATCATACATAAACTGTAAACCTCGTGCAGTTCACCCTGCTTGTCAGATCCCAGAGCCTACACAGGCTTCGTCTCCGACAAAGCCGATTGTAGAAAAGAAATAGCCAGAACAAGATGGAGTAGCAGGTGCGCCTAGCACATAAGCGGAAGCGCTGGTGGGAACATTCATGGGCTGGCTTGTTGAGACCTTGCAGGTTTGCCAGCGCCAGAGGAGTTTGAAGATGTAGCCAGTTTACACACACTTGTAGTCTTGGCATGTCCAAATTGGAGTTGAACCCATTGTTTCCGGACAGCGCTTCTTTCGAGTCCGGCATGCACAGTTGGCAAGTTTGGGTAAAGTTCAGCCCCCCCCATCCCTCGGTGGTCCCCGGCACTGCGAAGACCTTGGAACATGACCCTCCGGTCTGCTGAGTATTGCGGAATCATTCAGTCGTCAAGCACCGTAGAGGTGGCTCTTCGTCATGACAACACAAACGCAAACCCAAAGCCCCGAAGCCTGAAAGCCCTCCTCCGTGTGCTGTTGAACTGTTTGGGCTCCAGGCTTTCTGCAGTGGGATCTTTCCCTCCCGGGCGTGCGTGCCCCGGCAACTTGGCTACAGCACTTGGAGCCTGTGCTGGCTTGCTGAGTCTGCTGAGAGAACCCGAACAATAGCAACGATGTCCACATCAACAAGAACCCTCCGACGAGAATGCATAACTGCTATCACAATCATGCGAATGTCAATCAAATTAACAAAGCTACAAGAACGAAGAATACAAACAAGGAAATCACACTTCCTCCTTCTCCCTCTCACCCTCAGCAGTATCATGTGCATCCTCCTCCTCCTCCTCCTCCTCCTCCTCCTCCTCCTCGTCATTACCAGCTTCATCATGATGGCCGAGCCATCACAATCAAAACAGCCAGAAGAGTCGAAGATTTCGAACCACTTTGATAAGCATGGCAAGAATGACTCAGAGTTGTTTTGAATGCAGAAAGAACGCAGAACAAAGGCAGTAATGCAAGTACAGTTGATCTTTCATTCAGCGTAACCGTTATAAGCATCAAACGATATCAAACGAGGACAGCCGTGGCTTCGGCTTCATCGACATGCTAAGAGTACCTGCTGCACCGCATAGCCTACGAGATAGTCAGTATCACTCGCACGACCAAACACAGTCGGAATTCAGTCATTAGTCATAGTACGCCAGAGCAATCAGCCAGTAATCGTGAGAACTGCAGACACAGCGTTCAGAGCGAGCGTCTTGACCTATCCATAGTATGGCCATCCGACGAGTCGCACGAATCATGATTGTAACAAGAAACACAACTTTGATCGGTCGCTCAAGAGCTAATTGCGAGGCCGTGCTATTCAGCTATATTCAGCTATTCCGGCTATCCTATTTCGGTTACATGTCCAGGAGTCGAGGTCGAGGCCCACGGCCGACATTTCGAGACAGGCAGACACTCCCAGAGAGCTACACCTTGCCAGGAACTTGCCCCTTTCCACTCCCCGGATGCTAAAACAAGAAACCTTAGCTTTTGGGACTCCCGATCCTGAGGGATTGGCCGGGCATGGGCTTTGGGCTTTGGAGTTGAGGCGTCATCGCGCAAGGCATTATCTTGCTTTATTTGCAAGGTTGCTGCTGACATAAAGCTGTATTTCGGTTTTACAGTCGTTTGGTGAGTATGCGCAGGGTTCCTCAGGTAGATTCGGAAGTGCCTTTTTGCTGGTGCCTTCTTTGGGGCTGTTGTACATAGTTGTAGCTCACAAACAAGAACACATAAGTTTCCTATGTGGGGCTTCATGTTCAATGCCCAGACCTCGCTTTGAGACACTTCCAGTTTTCAAGGGCCTAGACTTCAATTTGTCAGGCCTGGGGCTGCGAAACCAAATCCCGAAGCTCCACACTCAGGATCATATCTTTTATTTTACCCTGCGCGACGCTTTGAACTTTGGCGTCCAGGCTCATATATGCTCCGCACCTTAGTTTTTGCGCCAAAAAACCACTGAAGCTGTAAGTCTTGCTCGCATCGACCAAATGCATGCAGACAGAAGTGGGCACGCTTTTGTTCAGAATGTTGCCATGTCTGGATAGTGGTAGGGTGGTGAATGCACATGAGGACTGTGGCACTTTCATGTTCTCCGGCTCAGCAGAACAAGTTTAAGGATCACGACGACGGTATGCGGGGCTGTGTTCGATGCGTAGGGCCGAAACTTCAGCCTCCTTACCAGCTGTATCTGGGGAAGCGGTTCGTTTTGGGACTTTACATACATTTGTTTTGGGTCTGCAGCACTTGGATGGGATCGCTTGTCCGCCCAAGCCGTGATGCGCTCTCACCTGAAAAGTCTAGAACCCGAAATCTTTTGCCTCGGAGAGTCAATGGAAGAGACGGGGCCCGAATGGTGTCCTTTATAACCTTATCGGTTCTAAACTCGATCTGAAAGAAGGGATGTGCCGAGTGCGCTTGGTAGCTTTTCATTAAATCCCATGCTCCAGCAGATCCCGTGACCTGAAGTGACGGAGGCCTACATCTTAACGACAACCCGAACACCCATGTACCTCCAAACTGCTCAACCTGCAGTTTTCTAATTATGTAGGATTCTGAAGCGCGTGAAGCGTGGTTGCCCGGAGGAATTCTTTGGCCTTTTGCTTTCCTGCCAGCCCCGTGGCAAAACATGTGGTCTGGGTTGTGGGGTTGCTTGTGGAGGTTCGTCCGTTGGGGTATGCAGGGACTTCTGACATCACCCAAGCCCCCTTATTCCTCAAATCCTCCGGGTTGAGACCGGACTCCACCTTGCCAGAACAGAAGTTCCGGCTACATTGCAAGCATGGCATCCGTCACGGATCAACATCTACCAAACAAAGTCTTGGTTGCCAGTGTTTGCTGCCTTCACAGAAGAAGACCTGCTGTGCTCAACTAGCTTGAGCCCATCTTCGGAGGGGAGGTCAAGCATTCAACCGCTGCACGAAGGTCGCTGGGATGCAAGATCGCAACCCATGGCTTCGCAGCAGAGGATAGCTCTCGGGACAGTACGGTGGAAAAGCCATCGTGTTCGAACTACCCAGAGGTTTTGTAGGAAGGTCGTGGTGCTCAAGTGAGGCAGAGCTGCACAGACTTCGACAACCATGAACAGCCATCTTCCCACATCGCAAGTGCGAAAGACTTGACAGTTCGATCGGCGGTAGACCTCAATTCCAGATAGGCTAAACTAAACCATGATCAAAATCAGAGTTTTTCCCTTGAACATCACTCACTATAACCAAACCTCCGTGAGGTTTTCGACCGATCCGGAACAACAGCACCCGAACTCGTAACTACTAGCGGAAGACAGAGCTTACCTTGAGGCTTCAACTTTGCGGTTTGTCTGGATCTCGGTAGCTTGATCGATGTTTGAGGGGTGGGGCGTGCTGACAACACAACTTTGCGGGTCGACCTCCTTATGCAGTCGAAGTTTGACTACGGACAGGAAGTCCAAGCCTCTATGTCCAACAACTTTTAGCACTCAACCCTGAAACTCTGAAACCACTTTCTACGATGATGTTTCCAGGAGTGCGAGCTCCCTCAAATTGCAATGCCCATGCTGCTTGTCGCATCTGTCAAGTTGTCTGGGTCTAGCTCCTTAGGTGGTTTGGGGTTGCTTTGTTGTTCAAGGGTGAGACGTTGTTCGGGGCTTCTTTGGGTACTGGAGCTTGCAAGAGTTCAATCTTGAGCCTCGGGCATCTTCTAGCGAGTTTAGTCCGGCTCCGAGGCCGTCTGCTGTGCGCTGACCTCGGGCACCTAGGGTGGTTCTAGTAAGACTAGTGATCCGAGTTCAACCAAGTTGTTGTGGCGCTCCGCAACCGCCGAATCGTTTGCAGCATGCCTGGCTGTCCAACAAGGTCTTGGAGAACTTGGGCATTCATTGCGCTCGGGTGTCTGGGCATGCAGCAAATCACGGTCTTCTGGGCGACAATATTGATCAGAGGCTTGAGCATGCTGACGAGCTCGCCATCATGACTTGACTCTAGATTTTCCCGTGCGGGGTTTACAGTGTTACAGCGAAGTCACACGCCTGTCGCTTCACTCTTGTCTGTGAATCCCTCCGCTTTGCCCGTGCAGCCGCAGTCACTCAAAGCCAGCGGCACATGTTATTCCAGCAAGTCCTTCCAAGAGGGGCCAGGGAAGCTTTATCAATAGTAAGCAGGTCTTGCAAGGTTGGTGCATCTGAGCACCGGAGGCGTTAAGATTTTTGGTAAAGACCCCAGGATCCTCATCGCTTGCGCTGCAGCATCCACGTGTTTCTGGACTTGAATTGGTTCCTCAACCAAGAACTTGCAGGAATCAGCCCGAAAAGCCAAGTGTAGATCCTAAGCCTCATCCAATTTCCGTTGCTTTGAGAATAGAAGGGCTCAGTTTGTCGACTTCTGGTGTGCGCCGTTGAAAGCTCGATCTGTAGTGCTATGCATCTCATCTAGGTTTCAGATGCTCTTTGATCTCGGCTCCAGGACGTTCGATTGCTTTCTGCTCCACTCAAAAGCTCCTCAACATACGAAGAACCTGATTCGAAAATGTGTGCACGCACGCTTCTCGCTCACAACTGTCTTTTCACAGTTCACAGGGCCGCCGATAGGCCATAGTGTCAATATCCACTATATTGGTACGTACCTGACGACCAGATAAACTGGGAAATGGAACATCGGAAACAACCGGAGTCTAGGACCGGAGCAGCTCAGAACAAGTTATTGCCTGAGAACCACAGGGCTGAGTATGATCTGCTTTCAACGGTGTGTACAAAGGGCAGGGATAAAGTCTTTCACCCCGCCTCGGCAACATGTGCCGCTGTTGGCACATTTGCCGCTCCCTTTCGGGAAAATCTATACAGATACTGGCGATTTCTAGGTCCATCATCATCCTAGGCATGCCTGACAAGGTGTGTACACTTTCACTCCGGTAGATCTACGAATGTTGCCGCTTCCTGGGAGATGATACTTTTCGCCACGGCTGGTAGCTATACAAATGCGCTCCGACGCCACTCTTTGGCGCTCTGCTCGGGCCAAGGTGTCCCTCAGCATCCTGTTCTCATTTCGAACCTCCACAAGCGCGGCTTCCATCTGCTCGGTCCGCCGGCACCTCTCGCTGAACACTTGCTGTAGCTCGGTGTACCGGTCAACATATTCCTCGGCAAACCGTTCATGGTCACGCTCTGACCTTGTCTTGGTCTTCGGAGTGAAACTTTGGACCTTCGGCTTCTCACGCTCAGTCTGCTTCCTGTGCTGCACTTTGTTGTTTCGGCTGGCCTCCGGAAAAGGTTTCTCAAGCACCACTTAAAGAGTTTCTTTCAGAAGGCAGTAGGGAAGACCAAAGAAAACCGCCAAAGCAACCAAAGCGATTCCCGCCATAGCCACCACTGAGTAGAGACTTTCTGTGTCCCGAAATGCAACCATTGGCGCTGCTAGGCTCAAGCCCTGTGCTGAGTGGATTTGCGACATCACAAGGAGGATCGGCATCAGCGCCTTGATCTGGGAAACGCGGTGGCCATCATTCTTGAGTTCCTTGATCACCCGCGCCATCTCCGGCTTCTGGTCGGCAAGCTCCTTGTCTTGGGCTCCATAAATAAGGGGACGTGTCCGGAAGCACAGCACCCATCATGACAAGAAGTTCGCGGATGCGGCTTCCATTGGGGGGCTTTGTTCCCAAATCACTTGGGTTGGCAGTCCCAGCAATGGTTGCCACTTTCAGCAGACCCTGCTTAACACACTGCTGCACCCACAGGCAATGTGGTGGATGCGACCGCATCCGAGTCGCTGTGTGATGCCCTTGCAAGCAGAGGAGTCCGTCCTGCTTCTCAGTTCCACATCATAGGTCCCATTCACAAGGAACCGCACGCAGTCAGCTAAGTAGATCTCTGCAGCCGCCCCGGCCATAAGTGCAAAGTACTCGCTCTCCCCGCTCGACAAGGCTATGCTTCTTTGCGACCTCACAATGGAGCTGACCAGGCTCCCGCCAACATACAACTGAATGCTCGTGTGAGATTTTCGAGTTCTTCGGCACCCTGCCCAATCGGCGTCCGTCACCGCTTCAACCACAATGGTGGATCCAAGGGTCTATGGATCACCCGAGGCGTAGCCCACACAAGCGTTGCTCTTGATGGGTCTAAGAAGGAAGCCGATGGGCGGGCAGTCGGCCGAATAACCGACCACTCTTTGGAGCCATTTGAAGGCGCCCTTTGTTGGCGCTGCCATTTTCGAGCTGAGCACGCAAACGGCGAATTGCACATCGGGCCTGGTGTGGGAGAGGTAATTATAAAGTAGTCGACCGACGGCTTCATGGTAAACCTTGCAATCCTGCGCTCCCAGCTCACCTGTGCTGTCCTGCTCCAGAAAGGTATGATCACTCGGACTATCACGGCCTCGAAACTTGGGTCCCAGGGCAGCAAGAAGTGCTTCTACATACCGTCCGTTTGAGTATACTCCAATGCCGTTTTCCAAGAGGATATACTTGCACTTGAGGAATTCCAACTCGTCACCGACATACAAGAGTGGCTCGCTGAACTCGACGGTCACTTTCTTCCGAAGGACTTCCGTGAGGTAGCCGCGCTCCTTTGCAGTTGATGCCAAGAGCCCGTCATCGGCATGTAGCACCACAGCTGCTCGGCTTCCTGGCACCTCGCTGCGGAACAAGGTCGGCCCCTTCTCGAAGTTGGTGAGGGAAACTTTGCCCAGGCGCGCTTTCTGGGTCCCCAAACAACTTGCCCTCGATCTCGACTGTCATTGGAGTGGGCTGCTCGACCTGCAAGTAGGCATCTTTGAAGTCGAACGTGGCAAGCTCTAGGCCTTGGCTCAGGGCGGTGGCAATGAAACCGTGGATTGCTCCAAGGGTTGATGCTGGAACGAAAAGCTCCTGAGTGTCATCGTCTTGAACTCGCGCCCCACCAACCTCGATTTTCGGGTCCATCCTGGTCGCTTCCTCCAGTTTCGGACCACCTTTGTTGTGAGAGACTGGTACCCCGAGAGGTCCTCCTCTTCTCGCTTGTACCTGAGCACACCCATGGACATCAGGCGCTCGATCTCCTTGCCGTCTGCCTCTGCATCGACTTGGGAAAGCTCGGCTTCACTAAGCTGCGGGTGTTTCTCGGCAAACTCATCCCACCAAGACTCAAAGAACTCGCCTGCCAGCTCGCTCTCGTTTGCTACAGGGCATTCTCAAAGTCGACCAGCTCCTCGGTGGGAACGTCGCCATGAATCTGCATCACGCCCGCGAAACCAGGAGGGTAGATGCCTGCACTTGGAGAAGTAGGTGCTGAACTGGCTGCCTGGCTGCCGGGCGGGACGCAGGACCACCAAGGCTTGGAGCGGGCTTTGGCCTTTGGCTTGTCTAGCAAAAGCCTGGGCCTTGCTCTGAGCCTCACCGCAGAACGGGCCAGCTCCTCCAGGATAGCATTGTCCGGTAAAAAGGGCACTGCAGAACGAGCTCCAGTGTACAATGGCCTCTTTCGCCTGAGCTGTCCTTGGTAACCCCAGGGAAAACCACCAACTTCCAGGACCATGGAGCTGCTCCATTTCTCCTCCTCCGGCACCCGTTGGATGCTGCGAGACTCAAAGCATCCCACTGGTGTGCCAAGATGTGGGCATTGTTCCTTTCGTTGATTCCAAGCCATATGCCTTTCCGCCACTGGAGGTCTGCTTTGTGAGGGGAGTGCTTGTAAAAGATGACCTTCTCACCAAAGGGAACCAACTGCCCCTTGTAGCGGTAGCGCCTGGAGAACATCACCTCGTGAGCCGTGCTGCCCTTGTTGCCCGCATGGAAGCGGTTGTACAGGAAGGCGCTGTGCTTGAAGAACCAAGCATACACATGGGCACTTAAAGGAATGCTCGCCTCTATCCTGCTTTCCAAGAAGCTTCTGAGGGTTGCTGCGTTGCGCCTCACTGTGTCGATTGCCTTCTCCGCGTGGCTGTTCAGGTCTCAAAGTCACAATCTGCTTGATCGATTCCTCCGGGTCGCCCTGCATGGTGATCGTCTCGCCCGGCGCTGCCTGAAGACTGAGTCGCACGAGCTGCTCGGTCACTCTCTTCAGCGACCGTGCCCCCTTCTCCAGCACCGGTATAGCACTCACCCATCCCGTGGTAGTTTCCACGGCCAGCCGGCAAAGGCCGAATTGATCACGAGGGTCCTCTTGATCGTTTCCATCTCCAGCGCGATTGGGCTCATTGTTTTGACCCTCCTCCTGTTCCGGCCTTTCCCCATTCTTTTCCCCATCACTGGTCTCAATCTCATGGCGGTGGCGCGTGAAGGTGTAGCCGTATAGTCGATCTGGATCATCGGGTGACGGGTGCTCGTGGGTGTCGGGGGCGATCTCCTCCCCCTCCATTTTCTCGTCGGCCTTGCTGTGAGGGCTTTGCTTGCTCCGGCCAAGAACACATGCCTCGCACCATGGTTGGGAAGGGTGGTGCGTGATGTTGTGTAGCTCTTGCTGCCTGGCTGAAGGTAGCGCTGGGGTTCTGGGCATCGTCGGTTCGCGTTCTGCTCGGCAAACATCTTCTTCGCAACCTCGTTGGCCAAATGCTTCTCGAGAACCTCGTGGTGACGCTTCAGTCTCCCAAGCACTTTGTCCTCTCCACCACTTGAGCTGATGCCCAGCTTGGCGCACAAAGCCCGGAGATCACGCAAAGGGAGTCCCGACATTAAGCTTGACACCCTCGAGCTCGGGTTCGCCGTCTTCATCCTCCAGCTCCTGGTCCGGCTTCTCTTGTAGGGCCACTTCATCAGGAAGGAGGTATCATCTCCCACAGGCACCGGCAAATGCGCATTGTCGTCCACCGGCTCGCAAAAGATGTCCCGCGGGTGCGACAGCAAGTCCTTGGGCAGCTGCTCGACGTGCAAGAGCATAAGGATATTCCTGGGCCCGTCAATGTCGGGGTCCATTTCCGAAAGGTCGCCACCTGGAGCCACACATCGCCTTCCTGGGGAAGCCGGTCTGCTCGCTCATGCCTGGTGAAGATTGCTAGCCAGGGCCAGTTTTGTTGGGACCACAAGCTTTGCTCAAACTCGAGCTCGGTGGCCTTGTGTTGCATTAGCAGGGGGAGCCCGCTGGGTAGGACATGCCAAGGCCTCGGCTTCCTTTGCGCAGCGGCCCCAACTCGTCAAACGTAAGCATGTTGATCGCCCTTGGTGTGTCAGGTGCCGGGGCCACTGCAGAACCGGCCGCCATCACCATAGAGACCGTTGCCGCCAGATTCAAAGTGTTCCTCCTCAGCCGGATTGGCGTCTGATGGCCGCCCCTGCAAAGCACCGGGCCGC